CATCTTGGAACCTCCTCCTCATATTTTATGGTACTAAATACAAAGGTTTCTGGAACTGGAAACCTTAGTGAATAGTTTCAGCCTGATACCTGCGGCCCAGAGGTGCATAAACTGAAAGCATAGTACACTTCAGGAGTCACATCTGTAGAGGTATGTGTGGTCCAAAGAACAGATGGTTAGAGGAGGCTATGCAGGCCATCCCTGATTTAGTTAGAGTCCCAACCTGTTGGGAAGAACTGGGCAACCAGACTAGTGCTTCACCCTCACAAAGTAAATGAATTAGTCCATTGTGCCCATGAAAGAAAGAAGTCAATCAAATGATCCTAGGGATAATTAAGAGTTTTCCTCTCTTCCAGAATCTCAGAATAATCCTGGTCAAGACTTGTACTGTTACCAGTAGGAATGCACAATCATCATCCCTAAACAGACAATTCTTAGGTCATCTCTCTCATGTTTAATTCATTGCTTCCCTTCCATTTTGAAAAGACTTCATGTTTCAGGGCCCTTAGTCTCTACTTTCCAGTTCCCCAGTGACAGCATCTTCAGAGGAGCTTTTCCCCACTATTGAGAAGTTCATCTATAGCTAAGGTCCTTCACCTGGCATTCAAATGGGCCTTTTCAGAGCTCCAAAGCCAGGTGTGAAAATTTTTTTCTTGTCTTAAAAATTACTTTTGGGAGGGAATGTTTTTTAAGTCAAATGTATTAGGGTATTGTTTCCATCTACCATGCTACTAATTTATGTGTAGGATAGCATGGGATTCCTTTGTACATAGTTAAGCGATATACCATGGTCATTTTCATGCCTTGATCTCTCTTTCCATGGAATTAAATTAGACACACCCTTCTGTTAGGATTATGTATATCTGTATTATTGTTTACATTGACCTAACTTAAGTTAGAAAATGTTAAAGAAAATATGTACAAAAGAAAAAGGTTCCTTTCATCGCTGAATGTGCAAAAACTCTGTGCTTCTTGTGGACCAATTTGCTTGCCAGTGAAAGAATGAAGGTAATGAACTCAAAGAATTATCTTATGTGTTCATTTAAAAAATACTTCTGATAGTGTAGAACTTGTTCGAGATGATTTGCTTTGATAAGACTTTAATTTTACCACAACTTGGATTTGCTCTAGTTTGCCTTGAAGCATCATAGTCAAGTGAATATCTCATTGCCAAGAACTTCCCACATTTGGAGTGACTGTGGTGGAGCCATGTGCCCTAGAAACGGTCAAATTGGTTTGTGCTTAGAGCTGTGGGGAAAAAAAAGGATTCATTCATCCATTCAACAGATATTAATGAGCATCTGCTATGTTCCAAGCACTGTTATAGGACCTGGGAACGTGGCAGTGAACTAAACAAGAAAAAAATCTCTGCCCTTGTGAATTCTAAAGGAAAGAGACAGGCAAACACAAAAATAAGAAAATTATACAGTATAATAAGAGGCAGTTAACTATGGAAAACATATTAAATTAGGGTATAGGGAATGAGGAATGCCAGGGAAAAGGGATTGCAATTTGGAATAGTATAGTCAGAACAGGTCTAATAGAAAAGGTAACATCTGAGCAAAGACTTAAAGGTGGTAAGAGAGTGAGACCTGAGAATATCTAGAGGAAAAGCCAGGGTTAGCACACACAAAGGCCTTGAGGCAGCAGCATACCTGCCATATTCCAGGAATAATACAAAGGCCAGTGTGGCCAAGCAACACAGTGAGTGAGGAGAAAGCCAGTAGGAATGAGAGAGGTAAGAGAATAGGTGGGAGATAATATAGGATTCTAAAGCCAATTGTAAGGACTTCAGCTTTTACTCTGAAATGCTGAGCCAATGGAAGGATTTAAATGAGTGGTTACGATTTTGCTTTTGCTTTGGAAGGAGCACTATGAATACAGTTTTGAGATGAGATTGCAGGGGACCAGAGTAGAAGCAGACAGAGTAGTTGGGAAGCTGTTGCATTAATCCAAGCGAAAAATGATAGCAGCCTGGACCAGGATGATAGCAGTGGAGGCGATAAGAAGAGAAGTGACTGGATTCTGGATATATTTTAAAGGTAGAGCCAATGGGAATTCCTGATAGCCCTGATGTGGAGAAGCAGAGAAAGAGAGTAGTGGTGTGCAACTCACAGGTTTTGGGTGTGAACAACTGAACATTCAGTCTACTTCAGGCTGTTAGGAAGTTGAGTTTTGAATATGTTCAGTGTGAGATGTCTACCTGACAGTAAGTGGAGATGTCCATTTGACAGTTTGAATGAGTCTAGATTTCAGCAAAAACGTTGAAAATTTAAATCTGAGATATAACAACATATTTCGTATTTAAAGCCCTGAAACAAGATGAGATCATCAAAGTAGTAAGAATAGTGAAGTAAAAACTGGACCTTGGGGTACTCCAGGGTCAAGAGGTCAGGAAAGAGAGAGTGGAATTGGCAAAAAGTGACCAGTGAGGGAGGAGAAAAAGCAGGAGAATACAGTGTCTTGCAAGCCAAGGTAAGAATGTAATTCTACTTTCTGAAGTGGTAAACCACTATGTCCAAAGTTACTGATGGTACAGAAATGACAAAGACTGAAAACTGACCACTGGATTTCGTAATGAGGATGTCATTGGTGAGCACTCCAGAACACTGACAGGTTTTTTTGCTATTTTTAAGCAGATCATGGGAAAGTTGGCAGCTATGCCATTTCCCTTAAGCCTGCATCTGGATGAAACTACTGCCAATGAGATGAAAAGTTGAAGTTGACTGGATGTCAAATGTAACATACCAGATCAAAGACACTCCCATAATTTCGATTTCTTATTTAAACCAATTAGCCTTCTAATTAAAATTTACTTTTGAACTGGGCTGAAATATATGTAGTCTTTAGAGTATCCTAAAGGAGGTTTTGATTTCTACTTGTTCACTGCATTCAGGAATCCCCAGCTAGTGGAGCCTTTGGTGGCAGCATGCCTTGATAACAGGCAACCTGAAGTGACTGACACAGAACTCTTCTCTGATTCTGCTTCTTTGGGGCAACATCATTCCTTAGATGTGACTGGTTGATGCAGGCCACATCCTGTGAGTCAGCCCAGTTTTGCAGGGTGAAAACGTTATAGAGTAAAACACTGGGGGAAGGGGTTACACAGTGCACACAATTTATTAAGACCAATGATGCTTTCTCCCACTGTTTTAATAAGCCTATAGAACTCAGATTTGTGTTTGTAGAAATAAGAAAAAGAGAATGGAGAAAGACCTCTCAGGCACACAGAGGGGACTTCCAACCAATTCTTGTTGGGATATCTCAATTGCCGTATTTTTGGAAATGATTAGAATTCATTGATTAAACTTCAAACTATAAAGAAACCATTTCATTTGCATGTATTATTTGGGATCTCTTTATTTTTCCTGTTGATTTGGTCACCAATTTCTGCATGAAATAATGAGACATATGATACTTTGTAAAGATTACTTTTTACATCATATATGTAAAAAACAAATCAAAATTGGCAAAACGTTGGTGTTTGCTTGGGCTGCCATAACAAAATATCATAGACTAGGTGGTTTAAACAACAGAAATAGTCCAACATCAACGTGCCAGCTGTTTTAGTTCCTGGTGAGGGCTCTTTTCCTAGCTTGCAGACAGGCAACATCTTGCTGTGTGCTCACATGGCCTTTCTTGGTGTGTGCACCTGAAGAGAGAGAGAGAGAACAAGCTCCCTGGTGTCTCTTCTTATAAGTGCACTACTGTCATCAGGAGAGCTTCAGCCTCATGACCTGATTTAGCCCTAATTAGCTCCCCAGTGCCCCATCTCCAATTACTATCACACTAGGGTTAGGGCTTCAACATACGAATTGGGGGAGACATATACATTCATTCCAAACACAAATGTAACACCGAACAAAGCAACAAAGTTGTATGCAAACTTTCTTTGTATATTTTTCAAGTAGCGGAGGTCTAAACTTTTCATCAAGTGATCAAAGATTAACAACTACTGATGTAGAGTTCAGGGCCTTTTTTAAAATGGCCCTCAGATGCACAGAATTATATTACCAGTGAACTACTCTAGAAAAGATCTCTTGCATGACTATTCATATATAGTTTTACTTCAGTGACATGATAGTGATTGTTTAACACCAACTGGCTCTCTTTGGGAAGGATGTGCTGACTTGTATACATGTCCAGTTTCTGTGGTGTAAACAGTCTCATCATGGCCCATTTCCAGCTACCAATGTGAAGTCACTTGGAGCTGAAAGAGGATGCATACAATGGGCTATTGGAAGCCCGTGGAAGTTGGCTGCAGCACACCACTGCCCTGTCTTCATGCCGACTAATCCTGTTTCTGCCTGAAACCAATAAATTTTAAAATAGCAATAAAATAAAATTAGAAAAGGAAATTGGAAAGGCAATTTTAAAGTATTACAGAATATGTTTTCAAGCCTAAAAAAGAAGTGACACGAACCATTTTAGAAACTGAGCAGGACAGGAAACAAATAATGGAATATGCATGACATGTGAGTGTATGTCATTATGTTACTTAATACTCACAATTCTGTAGCACAGGTATTAACCCTTATCTTAAAAAGATGAATGTAAGTTCAGAGATTATTCATTAGACCAGAATCACATAGACAACAAATATTAGAGTCAAGACTTGAACCCAGATCTACCTGACTACAAAACCCATTCTTTCTCTGTCTCCAAACCAACGTCTGGAAGCTTTAGAATATTGTCCATGATTGAGTAATATAAATTCTGATGTGTTAATCACTGTATCAGTGGCATAATACTGGTATATTAATTACCTCTATACAAGATACAAATTAAACTGAATTATAAATCATTTAAGAAATCATTTTGCTGGTCTCATTTTTGTAACTTATTTTCCTTAGATAATATGTATTCTTCAAAATTATAAAACCCTTTATCAGTACTTTTAGTCAGGTCATCTTGATTTGACACTCTGAAAGAACATTATGGAAGGAGAAAATGTAATTTGTGTCCTTTTTAACAATACCTGCTTTTGCATTCACCTCAAGGCTACTACATGTACATTGAGGCCTCCCACATGGTGTATGGACAAAAAGCACGCCTCTTGTCCAGGCCTCTGCGAGGAGTCTCCGGAAAACACTGCTTGACTTTTTTCTACCACATGTATGGAGGGGGAACTGGCCTGCTGAGTGTTTATCTGAAAAAGGAAGAAGATAGTGAAGAGTCTCTCTTATGGAGGAGAAGAGGTGAACAGAGCATTTCCTGGCTACGAGCACTGATTGAATACAGCTGTGAGAGGCAACACCAGGTAAGCCAAGAGAGATAAGAACTAAGCAATGGAAAACATGTAGGAGCTTCTGATGTTCTTTCTTATTCTTGCTACCAAAGATAATATTTTGTTCTTTTTCAGGGTCGTAGATAAAGGCAGGATTAAGAAGAAGTAAACATAATTAGTCTATACATTAATCTAAGCAGTGACAGGGAGAGAAAGTTTTGAGAATTTATGCATAAAGTGATTTTTTTGCAGTTCTATGATAAAAGTATATATATTTTTGTCTTGATACATTATGGGTGTCAAGTATATTTCTATGTATCATACAAATCTCCAAAACCAAGTCTTCTTTTCTTCTAAATATGGTATTACCTAATTAGTTGCAGCTGCATCTTGTACTCATTACCCACATACATGTAAGAGCTTTTGCCTTAAGCCTCTATTTAACAGTTAGTATGGTCCAAAGTTTTTTTTGTTTGTTTGTTTTTGTTTTTGTTTTAATGCCTCTGCCTCCATCACTGCATTGATGCAAAAGAAACAGAGAGACTTGATCCTCAGTCCTTGGTCTCCCCCGGGTCCTCTCATGTGCTATAGAAGACGTCCATCCTAGATGTTCTCTATCATAAAGGAATCTGGGAAGCAATAGGAAACATCCTTTTAAATTCTAGTAGGTAGGGGTTGAACAGCCAGTCTAGCCTGGAGAACCACACCTGCCTTCTGATAGCCACAGATTTTACCTGCCTACCATGGGCCAAAGCTCCAGAAAGCTGTGGGAGATAACCGTCAGATTTCTGACTGTTCTTAAAATTGCTCTGTAGAATTCTCAAGTGTGACCTCCAACTAAAGGCACATCTTCCTATTCATTCTTACTTCTGGCTGATAAACCTCCTGGATCAGCACTCTTTGTCTTTAACCACTGGCTGCCTAGTCTAAACCCAGATCTTCCTGGGAAGAGAGATCCAAATTCAGAGTTTTATTTTGCACTAACCTATGACCAAAAATAATTTTCTACAGATATAAATGGGATGGAATTGCAGAAGCTCAGACGGCTAAGTTGCAGTGCAATCAAAGGTGCTACATTGTTAAAGAGCAAATGACAGGGAAGATGAGCCATTATCTGGGAAAGGCCCATTATCCCAACATGGATAAACTGTGTAGACATTTGGCAAAGAATAACAGGTAGCTTCAGGAATAATTTTATAGTGATTTAATGTCTGTTCAAAAGAAGAAAGTGGATGGCTCAGGAACTTACTAATATAATTGATCATTATTCAGAGATGATGGATTAATTTTGTTAGGTTATTAGGGTACTCATTCTCTATTCAAATGGTTCTCAAAGTGTGGTCCAGGTACCAGCAGCATCAGCAACACCTGAAATGCAAATGCACTTAATATGCAGATTCTCAGGCCCCACTTTAAAACAAATGAATCAGAAACTGAGGATTTGGGGGCCCCAGAAATCTGTTTTAATAAGCCCTCCAGGTGAATCTGATGTATGCTAAAGATAGAGAATCTCTATGCTAAACTAAATGAATCTAAATCTTTGGGGATGACACCTGAGCACTGATTTTTTTGTTTAACTCTCAAGCGATACTGATACACAAGTGCTCTAAGATTTGAGTTCTGGGGACAGGTAACTTCTCAGCATCTAGGCCTTGGGGATCAGACACATGGCCTTGCATATAACAGACTTACTGGGGAGGTAGTTACTTGAAATATTTTTTGAGTACAGAGTAGTGTGGCATCTGAAATGGCATCTAGAGCTCTTCAAATGATGCAGAATAGCCCTGGAGACTTCCAGCTCACAATCTGGGAAGAAGACTCCAGAATCCTCCCTCTTGGCTTAGAACAGAACAGATAAGAATCTCCTCTGGGTTAGTGATTCCCTCAGGAATCCAAATGATGACAGGGAGACCAGGCTGAACTAGCTGCCCCAAAACATCCTAGTGTCTAATAAAACAGATACACTCATATGCACATAGATCAGCCAACTGCTACATGCCAGGCACTTACAGTGCTAAGAGCTGTACGTAAGTTCTTTCAACTGATCCTACTGCCCCATTTTACAGGTGGGGAAAAGTAAATGTCTGGCTGATAAGTGGCTGAATAAGAACCAGATCTGCATGCTTCCAAAGTTTGTATCCCTAAACCACTGTTCTACACTGCCTCCCACCATAGAAGTTCCAAAATAATCCTCATTGGCCTGATGGTCACAAGCACTGCATGATTTTCGAGATATCTTTTACTGTCTGAGAAAGTTTATACATTCTCAAAATGGGGTAATAATTCCTAGTCAGCTGTGCTGACACTGCCAGAGTTAGAGTGAGAATCAAAGGAGATTATGTATGTGAAAGGGTTTTATAAACTTTAAAGTATCAAAATAAGATATTATCACTGTTCTAACAATATATTCTCACGTAAGTCTCCCTAGTCACTAATTCATATCATCATGGCAGAACTGGTATTCTCAATAGCTACATCAGGCATCCAGACTGAGCTCCTGTTGTTTGAGATCAAAATATCTCATCTCAATAAATATGTATTGTCCATTTGCTATTCTAGGTGCTGAAGATACTGCAATGAATATAATATATAAAGTTCTTATTTGTTTGGAGTTTACATTCTAGTGGGGAGGAGGTAGAAAATGCAAGCCAAGGCTGGGCACAGTGGCTCATATCTGTAATTCCAGCACTTTGGGAGGCCAAGGTGGGAGGATTGCTTGAGGCCAGGAGTTTGAGATCAGCCTGGCAACATATTGAGACCTTGTCTCTAAAAAAAAAACAAGCCAAACAAACAACAAATACATATATATGTATGTGTATATATATGTGTGTGTATATATGTGTGTGTATGTATATACATGGGTGTGTATATATGTATATATGAATATATGTATATATACACATACACACATACATATACACACATGTATATGTATATATGTATATGTATATATATGAATGTGTATATATATATAGAGAGAGAGAGTATGTAACATCAGATAATAAGTGCTATGAAGAAGTCAAGCTGAAACTGAGCTCATGGAAGTAGACAGTAGAATGATGGTTATCAGAGGCTGGGGGAAGCAGGAGGAGGGAATGGGGAGTTGTTGGTCAAAGGCTACAAAGTTTCAGATAAACAGGAGGAATATATTTTTGAGATCTGTTGAACAGAGGATGACTGTAGTCAATAATGTATTGCATATTTCAAAATAACTAAGAGAGTAGACTTCACATCTTACCATAAATAAGTGAGGTGATGGATATGTTAATTAGCTTGATTTAATCATCCCACATTTTGTGTGCTTATGTATATATAAAATAAATATCACATTGTACCCCATAAAGATATAAAATTGTGATTTATCAATTAAAAATAAGAAGAGGGGAAATAAGAGGAAGAAGAAGTCAAGTTGATCAGGTGGTGAGGGAGATATCAAGATGACTCCAAAGCTTTTGGTATGAGCAACTGCTAAAATGAATTCAGATATCATTTATTGAGATGAGGAAGACTTGAGACAAAGCAGACCTGGAGTAAGGGCAGTGTGTGCAGGAAGAAAATAGACTCCTGGGGTGAAATGTTCAGTTTTTTATGTCTATTAGAAATCCAATGGGTATAAGTAAATAATAGGATATGAGATGAGTTCAGGGAAGAGAACAGAGTTAGGGAAGTAAATGTCTACAGCATCAATGGGAGTGGGCAGGTAGAGATGGTATTTAGAGTGTGGTAGTACTGCTGCCATTTGAGATTGATCCTTTGGGGATAATATGTGGGTGGCCTCCTGAAGGCATTCCACTCATTAGATTATCCCTGTGGGAAAAAGAAATGCATCAAATGGCAAAATTTTTTTTTTTTTTTTTTTTTTTAGTGGTTTAGTATAAGAATTTTATTATGTTAGTGGATTCTTCTCAGGTCAGGATTCAGATTAAGCTCAGCAGGGATGACTTGTTTCTATTACACAATTTCTGTGCCCTCTGTTAGGAAGCCACAAAACCTCAGGATGACTCACATTTCCAGTTCCTGGGTTTAGTGCGGGATATAAGGCCCACTCTAGGAATTTCCAGCTGAAGGAATGGACTACAGAGAATTTGCTGCTAAAGAATTGGGAGAGAAAAAGTAAGGGGGTTCCAATAGACTTTGAGTTTCTCTACCACACTTTGCTAGCTGTAGTTCAGAGGTCAAAAAAATGCTGCTGCTGCTACTGCTGCTACCACTGTTTCCCCCACTCACAAGAACCCCAGCATAACCAAAACAGCATGGTACTGGTACCAAAACAGAGATATAGACCAATGGAACAGAACAGAGTCCTCAGAAATAATACCACACATCTACAGCCATCTGATCTTTGACAAACCTGAGAGAAACAAGAAATGGGGAAAGGATTCCCTATTTAATAAATGGTGCTGGGAAAACTGGCTAGCCATAAGTAGAAAGCTGAAACTGGATCCTTTCCTTACTCCTTATACGAAAATTAATTCAAGATGGATTAGAGACTTAAATGTTAGACCTAATACCATAAAAATCCTAGAGGAAAACCTAGGTAGTACCATTCAGGACATAGGCATGGGCAAAGACTTCATGTCTAAAACACCAAAAGCAATGGCAGCAAAAGCCAAAATTGACAAATGGGATCTCATTAAACTAAAGAGCTTCTGCACAGCAAAAGAAACTACCATCAGAGTGAACAGGCAACCTACAGAATGGGAGAAAATTTTTGCAATCTACTCATCTGACAAAGGGCTAATATCCAGAACCTACAAAGAACTCAAACAAATTTACAAGAAAAAAACAAACAACCCCATCAAAAAGTGGGCAAAGGATATGAACAGACATTTCTCAAAAGAAGACATTCATACAGCCAACAGACACATGAAAAAATGCTCATCATCACTGGCCATCAGAGAAATGCAAATCAAAACCACAATGAGATACCATCTCACACCAGTTAGAATGGCGATCATTCAAAAGTCAGGAAACAACAGGTGCTGGAGAGGATGTGGAGAAACAGGAACACTTTTACACTGTTGGTGGGATTG